CATGAACGGGGGAGGGGCAGAGAGAGAGGGAGACACAGAATCAGAAACAGGCTCCAGGCTCTGAGCCATCGGCCCAGAGCCCGACGCGGGGCTCGAACTCACGGACCGCGAGATCGTGACCTGGCTGAAGTCGGACGCTTAACCGACTGCGCCACCCAGGCGCCCCTCACAAGGCTTTTTAAAGCTACTTGAAGAGCACAAGAAAGGGATAGGGCTGTGCGCGGAGAACGTGCTAACATGTAAAGACTTGACAAAAAAGACGGCCCGCAATTTCAAGTTAGCCTCCCGCTTTTCTAGTTTTTCAGGTGATCTTGAAAAAGGTAGAACCCAGGACTGTGAGACAACACTCGGATACACTAAATGAGTCAGTCTTCAGCCCAGGCAAAGAGGAAAGTTCTCAGATGACCTCGGAGAAGCACACTGATAAAAATATTGGGAAGCTAGCCCCTAAGCAAACTGTCCATTCTCAAACACCGTAAAAGGATAGATTGCTATAAAGCAATCCCTGGGGGATTTATCCATTGCCATAAGGCAATCCCTGGGGGAATAGTCTAGAATTATAGACCATGTGGCTTGCAAACATTTCAAAAAGAATGCGAGGGACAACACGGGTTCAAGTCTCCCCAAACAACTAGGAATCTTTTGTGGTTAAACAGGTGCATCTGGTAAGCATTGTATACCTAAAATAATGTCAGCAAAGCAGTTGGTATCTTGGAGCGTCCTTTGATGCCACTGATGGGGCAACCATCAGAGCAGCATCATGGCCAAGAGTATCAGTGTTGGGGACAGATGCAAATTCTTACCCACCAACTGCTCTCTGCATACTGTAGGCTTCCTCTCTTGGAGGTACAATGTCTTTCTTGATCATGCAATGGGTGTAAGAGCCCACCCCCAAAATGCAATAGATAAGCAAATCATGAATGACACAAAGTCATTTCAACTGGATGGAATAGGAGGCCAAACCATCAGCACAAATTGAATCTGAATACGTATCAATACAAACACAGAAAATTAAAAATGAAACACAGAAGAACGTGCTGAGTAGAAACTATTTTGTCAGCTGCCTATGTGACCATGAGAGCAGGGAATAGCCCGAATGTCCAACAACAGTACGCAAGAGAGCTAAGGAAACAGAGTGGTCCGAGAAGTAGAATACAGTTCTCAAGGGAGAGAACCAGGTGTCGGCCAGTATACTCCAGGCACCTGACCCTATACGTGGAAATCATGCAACAAGATGAAAAGCCGAAGACCAAATGACATCTACTTGAGGGATACTGTTACATCAAAGAGTTACATTCAAATTTATAGCAAGTGGTAGAGATGTTTCTCTAAAAGTTGCACCCTCACCCGTGGAACAAAAGAAAGTCTGGCAGTTTGGCAGTTTTAGTTGCCATGGGATTAATCTCAGTAAAGGGCGTGAGTGCTGAAAGCCAACCTGTACCCACGGAAGTATAACGCCTGGGTGTGCTCCCTGCAGGGGCCCATCCAGGTGTCACGAGTGACAGTCCTGTGCGAGCACATCCAGGTACTGGTGTGATGGAACAGGTCATGGGTATGGCCACCCCACTCAAGCTTATTCGGGCGCTTCTGGGTTGACCTTTCGAGAAGAAAATTAACAGTAATTTCCAGATAGATGAGAGAGTTAAATGTGGAAAATGAACTCATTGTAAAAGAAAAGAAAAGTAAGACATGTATCTGCACCTGGGAGAGATGAAAACTTCCTATGGGTGAAATTCATGGGAATAGTTACAGAGGAAAATAATTGGCAGATATAGAAATATTAAAGTTTCTCCGTCCTAAGTCACCATGACAAAACTCAAAGGCGCAGAAATAACCGGGGAACATACATGACAGATAGCGGGTGAATTGCACGATCACTGAGGTGCGTGCCTAGCGTAAGGCTAACAGAAAAATGGGCAAAAACACGATAAGGCAACGCGAAGGGAAAGAAATGCAAATGTTCCGTAAGAAATCAAAAGATGCTCAAACTTGCAAACAACCGGATACAGGCAAATAAAAGCAGTAAGCTAACATTTCTCTTTCAAGATAGCATTAAAAAAAAAAAAAAGATAACAATTTATCCAAGGGTCCGGGGACAAGGGCAACCATGTAGGTGGGAGTGCTGATTAGAGTCTCCCCGCTGGCACTCCCTGAGTAGTTTACTTAACCTTCCGCACAGTAAACTGAAGATAATCATAATTCCTGTCTGACGGGGCTGTCAGGGGGATTGGGTGAGATTACTCTAGCCCGGTGGTGACACTTCAAGGAATCTTTTCTAATTAGAGGTAAGCAAGCAGGGTATGGCTAGATAAGTCATGATACATTTATGAGACCAAGTGCTAAGCAGACATTAGGTACATTGTAAAAGACTACTTCCTAATGAAAATAAGTGTAACGAGCCTCATATTTGTAAAGGAAAGTGCACACATTAAAAAAAGTTTTTTTGATTTTATTTTAGAGAGGGAAAAGAAAGAGAAAGCGTGCATGAGGGAGTGAGGCAGAGGGAGAGAGAGAGAGAGAGAGAGAGCATCTTAAGCAGAGAGAGAGAATTCACACGCTGAGTGTGGACCCTGACATGGGGCTCGATTCCACCACCCAGGGATCATGACCTGAGCCAAAATCAGGAGTCAGTTGTTCAACCCAGGCGCCCCGACACACATATTATTTTACGTACAGAAGAAAGATGGCTAAAATTTTGATTTGTTTCCTTCTAGTGGTTATTTCTAAGTGGTGGGCTTACCGGCAATTTTTTTTTTAACAGAAAAAAAGCTATTAGGACCCCAAAAATGTGGAAAAATGGTATTGAGGCTAAGCAAAGTCAAAACAAAGTGAAATAACTTCAACTGTGTCCTGAGAGTGTCAATCGTTGTGTTTAGATTTGCTGGAAACCTCGAAGTGCATGAAATAATTGGAGAAGATGGTCATGCGCGGCCTGAAAGGGACAAGGTCTTGTGGGGGTTGTGACATCTCTCTGCACAAATTTGATGGATGTCACATCAGGATGTGTCCCGATTTTGCCCTCTGGAATAGCACGTCACCTGCCTCTCAATGACCATACCGTCTAAAGAAAAAGATTAGGACTAACTAACGTAAGGAACTTGGGGCCACACTCGAGCCCTCGGGACCTCTCTTGATGTTGGTGGGCATTTTGGCCCCCGGAAAGCAAGCATGGGTCTCTCATGGGGATCCATGCAGAGGTCTCCTGCTTTGCATGGGGCTTGGATTTGATAGCTTCTTGTTTTCTCTTTAAGGTGGACAGCTGTAGAATGATTAATTACGGGACAAAGAAAGGGAGCCAGGGCAACCATCAACATACAGAAGGTAGGGAAGGGGTGGTTTGACATTGTCTCAGGAACATTGTACTTTACATCGAAAAGTGACGTCAGATTCATTTCTGAGACCTTCTATCCTGCTGCTCTGATACCCTCGCCGTAGCAGAGGACAATTAGCCCAGAAGTTGCTTCATTACAGTTTAGTGAGATTTAAATAATTTCTCGGGAGACAAGCTCTGTGCAAGCTGGGTTAAAACGAAGCTAAGCCGGTGATACAGAGCTAACCCCAGGAGTGGAGGCTGTGTGAAAAGTTTCCACGTGGGAGCCGATTAATCGTCGATAAGGATCACACATCACTGGCCACGCCGGTCAACGTGACTGGTAAGGTGAATAGCAGAGGCGGACAAATAGGGCAACTGATATCCGTTCCCTACCCTAAAGCTTAGGTCCCGAAATTTCCTTTGGGAAGCCCCCCTTTAGCGTCACCAGCTATGTGAGTCGGGCGAATTCCCCTTACCCCATATTTCAGGGGTCGGCTCGCATTGGCTTAAGCCAATTAGCTTGTTCCTTTGCCCTGACTTTGGGCCCATGGCACCCGAGGGACCGTTGGCCGAGCTTTCCGGGAGACGGAAGCCCTCTCTCTTCTGCTGGAGCCTGCAAGAGCGGCCCTCCCCGGATGGCACAGGACATGGAACGAGGAGTCAAGCAGTGGAGAGAAAGAGGAGGGACAGCCTCTGGGATCCTATGACGGGAGAAGTACAAAACTGGAGCTTCGGGGACTCGGGAAACTGCCTCGTCCAAGATCGGAGCCTCTGCCTGATTTTTCACTGTCCCGGGCCAGTACCTCCCCTTGATTGTTTAAGCTAGTTTGAGCGGAGTTTTCTGTCATTTGTGTCATACTGGTACGATGCTGAACAGGACGCTTACCTTCTAGTTTAGGAGACTGGATTGTTGTGTCTATGCCTTTGGCAACCACCAGCAAGCAGCTTAAGGAAGATAAAAATCTGCTTTGACTTTACTGTCAAGATAATGTTTTCAATATCTTATTCTAAAAACATGACCACTCTCGGAAGGACTTCTGTGAAATTTTGTCCCCATCACCTGGTCTGACCCAGGGCAGGGCTGGTCTGAAGATGACCGAGCCCCAGGTTCTAGTACAGCGGATACAGCCATCCCCTTTTCTCTCTCTCTCTCTCTCTCTCTCTCTCTCTCTGTGGGTGGTGATAATGCACAGAAAGTGATTGGTCAACTGTAAACTGTTACAAAACAGAATCACACGTCTGGTGTAAGTTACCATTTGACACAAGTTTTCTTTACCGATTCAGTAAAATGATTGTGGTTCAGTTTTAGCCAACAGGGCCCGGCACGGAAAAATAAATCACATGCATCGTAAGATTTGATGAGGTAGGTCAATGCATCTTAAATCCTTCCCAGAGCAAAGAGAAAGTGTTTTTGTTTCACCGGAGGGAAGTAGCCTGGGCCCTACCCTAAGGCCCCATGGGGTCCAAAGTCCATGGGAACCCTTCTCAGGTCCTGAGGAGGCCAAGATTATTCAGGATACTGGCATGCACGCATTTCTACTCTTCTCCAGAGGGTGAAGATCAGCCAAGGGTTGCTGAGGGATGAATCATGTTTCAAGCTAGGATTGTATTTAGCTGCATTTGGCCGAAAACTCCAAAGACAGAAGCATAAAACACAAGTGTTTACATACCCATAGAAAAGACTTACAGAACTTTCTTCTTCTTGCCTTTCTGTTCCACAACCCTAGCTCTGGCTTTTGCTCTCAGTGTCACAAGGAGGCTGCAAGAGTTCCTGCTTTCCCATCTATGGCCCGATGAAGGAGGAAGAGAATATCTCCGCAATTGAATCAGTTCCTTTTAACTTACCTTCCTATAAATTCCATACTTCTGCTTGTATCCCATTGGTTAGAAATTAGTTACATGGCCACAGTGAACTGCAAAGGAGCCCGGAAAATGTAGTCTTTTAGTCAGGCACATTACCTCCCTAGATAAAATTGGGGTTCTCTTGCTCTGTAAATAGAACAGAGATAGGGTGAGGACACGAGAGAGGTTTATTGGTAAAGATCATTCAGAAAAAAACTGCGAACATGGGAGCATCCGCATGAGAAGCACGTGCCATCAAAACTTATTTCTGGGCAATGTTCAATCAGAATTGTCACAGAGGCTGGCCAAAGTGAGAGGCTTTACTCTTCAAAGGGTCTGGTTTCTGAGACCCCAATTTCTTTTCCCAGAGTGATGGCCGCTTGTAACAGGCTGTCCTTAGGGCATCAAGGTGTCTTACGAAGAAGTAATTTGACTTCTTATTTGCTCTTCCTGTCTGCCTTTCACCTGCCAGTTGCCTCCCCTCCTTTTTTTTTTTTTTTTTTTAACGCACTGAGTTGCCCCTGGAGCTGCAGAGGGAGGGGTCTTTCTGTCCTGGGACAAAGCGATCAGAACCTTTTAACCTCGTTGAGCAAATGAGCAGTGAGTTGCTAGGCACCAGGTGCCAGATGCTTGAGGTCTGTTATTTTAGTGAATTCTCACAACAACCCCCATGCAAAAGGTCCTTTCAACATCTTCGTTTGAGGCATGGAGAGGTGAAGTCATTTGACCAGGGTGGCAAGTTAGGCAAGGGAACAGCTGCATGTTACACTTCCGGGAAAGAAGAACCAAAGTGTAGAAGGTCAAGGAAAGAGCAGGGCGTGGGGCGTGGGGTGCACCTGCTGTGACCACCTTTCAGGATCTGATCCTCCTTCTCTGGCACCGGCATCCTTCCAGGACCAGCTCACGCCGTTTTGGTGGGCTGCCTGGTCCGGAGGTGGGCGAGTGACCCAGGACCACTAACTAGCACATCCCATGCCCCAGTTCCAATGTCCAGGATGGGCGGATGGTCCCGTCATGCCATTCCCATGCCTGTCACCCGGGCTGCTCAGAAGACAGTCTTTGAGCTAAGCTGCCGGCAGCCAGCTCACAGCCATCTCTAGTGGAGAGCCCCCCCCCTCAAGAGCGATGGGGCGATTGAGATCCAGTCCTGCTGATGTCATAGAGTCAAGCCAGTCCTGGACTTTGCAGGCACTGACCAGTGGATTTCTTTCTCAACTCCGTTAAGTTGAGTTCTTTCCCTTACAGCCCAAATGTCTGAGCTTTTATGCAGGGCGGACAGCACGAATGCTCCCCTTCCAACCACTGGGGGCCCACCTTAAGAGAAGGGTGAGACGTTAAGCAAACGGAAAAGGTTGTGTTTTCTAAAGCAAGGAGCATTTTTCTCTGTATTTTAAGCCATACATAAAAAGGAAGGCCTTTGGGGATGTTTTCTGGCCTGGGGCTCTGAACCTCTGCATTTCACTCATTAAGAAGCATCTCTCCTCCTCAGAGTGGAAGGCCCCCAGGAGAGGCAACTGCAAGCAAGGCCTCTGTGAGAGGAGAAGTGAGGCATCTCAGGTCAGTGGGGAAGGGTGGCTCGCTCAAGAAACAGTATTGGGTCTACGGCCATATCACCCTGAACACGCCCGATCTCGTCTGATCGGGCTAAGCAGGGTCGGGCCTGGTTAGTACGTGGATGGGAAGAAACAGTATTGGGATGACAGAATGGGGGGACCATCCAAAAAGAAAAGAAAAAAAAAGGTGAATCCATACTTTAATGATCTATCCAAACAAAATCTACATAGATCAACTTTTGAAATATAAAACAAAAATGAAACCATCAAATTTTTTAAACTTTTTCAAAAATGTTTATTTATTGAGAGAGAGAGAGAGAGAGAGCAGGGGAAGGGCAGAGAGAGAGAGAGAGGGGAACAGAAGATCCGAAGTGGGCTCTCAGCTGACAGCAGGCAGCCCAACGCAGGGCTCAAACTAACAAACCATGAGATCGTGACCCGAGCCGAAGTCGGACACTCAGCTGACTGAGCCACTCAGGTGCTCCGAAACCATCAAAGTTTTAAGAGAAAATAATAACTTTTACCCTTTCACGTCAGAAGGAGGAATGCCGTATTAGCACAAACACAAAGCATAACACCCCCGAACAGAAAGAATTGATGAAAAGGACTACATAAAAATCGAGTTTCCTCTCCATGGCCAACCGATCCTATCATCAACAAACCTAAAAGGCAAATGTCAAACTGGGGGAAACTGTTTTGATTAACATCACTAAGTGCAACTCTCCCTAATATATAAAGACTCATACATCAATAAAAGGCCAACAGATAGAAAAATGGGCAAAGGACATGAATTGACGAGCTGTAGGAATGGGAAACAGACAGCCCTGAAGCATTTGAAGAAACGCTCAGCATCATTAACGAGAAGAAAAACACAGTTACACCAAGATACTATTTGTCACTGTTCAGGCTCTCACATTTTGATCACGTGCCATGTTCAAATACGCATTTGGAAACAGGTGCTCTGATCCATCCTAGCTGTTTGTGAAATAGTGGCTTTGGGGGAGGGCGATTTGGTGATATCTATCCAAACGACAAAGGCACATCTCCCTTTCCCTGGGACCTCGGTCTCTGAGAAGTCGTCTGCGCATGCTCTCACAGGTGTGTGAGTGACGTGCACACTTAAGGGTACACTTAAGGCAGCATTGTCTGTATTTGCCAAAGACTGGACACGACCCAAATATCTAACATTCTGCAACTGGTTAAATAAACTAGGGGGGCTCCTGGGTGGGCCAGTCCGTTGAGCGGCCGACTTCGGCTCAGGTCACGATCTCGCGGTCCGTGAGTTCGAGCCCCGCGTCGGGCTCTGTGCTGACGGCTCAGAGCCTGGAGCCTGCTTCGGATTCTGTGTCTCTGTCTCTCTCTCTGCCCCTCCCCTGCTTGAGCTCTGTCTCTCTCTCTCTCTCCCTCTGTCTCAAAGACGGATCAACTTTAAAAATAAAATAAAACAAAACTCCGTAATTCACCCTCTTGCCCCACCCCAGTTAAAAATGAGCTCTCCTGACACTGGACCCCGAGAAGGGGGGGGGCGCCCCTCCTGCCAGGGACACAGCACTGTGGCTCTGAACTCTGACACGGGGTCACCACACCCAAGTTTCTGGCCCCAGAGTCCTGTCTTTTGAATCACAGCGGTTGCGGGTGACATCCTGGTGCAAGCCCCTGGTATGCTCGGCCTTGGCATTGGGCTGCTTGGCTCCTGGGACGGGGACGCCGATAGTGTGGCAGAGGGGGCTGGCAGGAGCAAGTGTCCAGCTGTCACTCTGTGAAGGATGGGTGTCATCTTGGCACCCAAGGGCCTGGCCGGCTGCCCGTGAATGTTTGGAGGGAACTCTCCGGCGGGAGGCGCTCCTGGCCCTTCTGGAAGGGTGTGCGTCTCGCTAGGCCCTCCCCTGGGCCTGACGGGAGGCTGGCTGTCAGATGGGTGCGAGTGCAGACAATTTGAGGGGAGGCTGGTCACTCCTACAAGCCACCAGGCAGAGAGACTGCTCTGAGCTGACAGCGGGCCAAGTGAGAGGCCCAGGGCAACATCCCCGTGGATGGGCCTCCCTGCGCGCGCCTGTGTGGGTGCGTGCGTGAATGCCGTGAATGTGCACGCGTGGGTGTGCCCGTGTGTGTGCCAGGACCGCACAGACACCTGACACACGCAGGCATCCCTCTGGAGTCGCTCCCATCTGTTCCGTGGTCTGACTAGAATCGCCTTCCCGAACTGGTCTGCGTCTTGCACTTTTTCCACAGAGAAAGGGCCAGAGAAATTGGCCCCCTGCCCCGCAGGATCTGAACGTCTGGGTGGGGGCCGCCGGGGCTGTTTCCCTGGGCAGAGACGCTGCCTGGAGGGCTATGCCGCTGACCGTCAGGAGACAGGGAAACAGTTGTTTCCTGCATCTTTGATGTGGGGCCCCCGACGGGTACAGCCTGGACATTGTTTTGTGCCCACTTCCTTGGCTCGGGAGGAAAGAATTCTGTAGGCCCGTGCGGGGCATAAGCTTGGCTGCCAGCGTGAGGAAAGGGAAAGACGAGCGAGGACTTTCTGAAAGGAAGAAGGAGAGACAGAGACAGGGTAGGAGGGAGGGATTATAAACATGGACGGGAGGGGTGGGATTTGGGAGAGGCGGGGAGGGAATGGTGTGCAAGCCCACACCTGACTGTCTCTTACGAAATCACTTGCACGCCGCTGATGGGAATGAGCCCATGTCCCACTGCCCACGGCTCCTCTGTGTCTGGCATGGCTGGATCTTAGAATCTCCAATAACCACTTCCGGTCAGCCTCAAGGAGCCGGTCGAGGTGGCCGAAAAGGTCCCCTCACAATGGTGATGGTGCTTGTGGTGGCTCCGGAGAACCTCTGTCACTCGCTGAGTCCATAGGGACCTCAGGGAAATGACCTCCTTTCCTCGGCCTTCCCCTCCCCATGTAAAAGGCATGTTGGACACTGACTGATAGAGTGGGCTATTAAAGGATTCATCTGGGGGGGGGGGGGGGGGGTAGGAAGAAGAATCTGGAAGCCGAAGCCAGAGTGTGTATTGAATGTGAAAATGTACGGTGGCATGGAGAGGACTTTTTCCCCCAAAGCCAGAATATTGCCCCAGTCTGCAGCCAGCAGAAAGGGGGTCAGCGAGTGCACGACTGGCCTGTCCCTGTGAAGGCACGTGCGTGGCGGCCCACGTGGACGTGTGCGTGTGTCTGCGTGTGTGGGGCGTGAACGGGTGCCCGGAAGGAGCCCCGAGCCGTGTATGGAAAGTAAAAGTAGTGAACGCTCGGCTTAAGCAATCGTCTTCCTCTCGGGGGCTAAAATTCACGGGCACTTAGCCAACAGCCACATTAGGATAAGAAATGTAATCTGTTTATATTAAGTTTGCAAATACATCTCATTGGTGCAGTGGGCGTGCAGTGCGCCATAACCTGCCGTGACGCTGGCCTTGGCTTGGGGTCCATGGCCAGCACACCGGAGCTAACGGGCTAGAGTTTGCAAGGCCCAGCCTAACCGCTCGCCTCCCTTCTCAGTCATCCACTTCCCTCTGGGGTGGAGAAACACATTCCCGAAGACGACAGCTGGAGTGTCTGAGAGCCAACAGAAACTGATGCTTCTTCCCTTCGCCGGAGCCACCACCACTGCCGGAGCAAAGACTGGAAGCGACCTCTCCAGGTCAGAAGGCACTCCGTCCCACCGTCCTGGTCCCTGCAAATGGTCTCCGATGAGGTTCTGGGCTCTGCGAGGCCTCCCTGCTTCCGGACAAGCTCTGGGCTGCCCCTGCCATGTAGCCCGGTGTCGTCCTCCAGTCATTGAAAGTTTCTGGGTCGTAGTCCCTGCCACTTTCCAGAGAACTAGCAAATAAAATCAACAGCCAGCACCTATTTGCCATCTCCTGTGGCCTGGCACAGCCCAGGCATTTCATGGACAGTGCCTCGCTGTACCCGTTGGGAAGCTTCCAAGGAGATACCGTCATCCTCCTGCTGTACAGATGTGAAAACAGAAGCTTGGAGGGCTTCGACAACTCGCCCGAACTCCTGCCATCGGTGGGATCAGTGTGGAGTCTGGGTTTGAACCCAGGTTTCTCCAATTCTGGAATCCCAGCTCCCTCCATGAAACGCCACGGGTTGCCTCCCCAGGTGTCCCCTGGAACCATGCAGGTCTGCTGTTCACCCACGCCTCTCCTGGAAACGTTCGCTAGCTTTTTTCCAGGTCCTTCCTTCTGACCTCTGCAAACTCATTTCCCCAAAGGGCCCTCATTCCCTCCAACCGGAATTCCATCAACAATAAAACGTGGGGGCTAAAAAGCAAGAGAATGAGAATCACACAGACCCAGCTGAGAATTCTGCTGTCGACTCACGCTGACCTTGCTCAAGTTACTCAGCTTCCCTGCTTCTAGTTCCCCGTCTGTGAGAATAGAGAGCACTAACCTACTGCCTGCTCCACGCGGTGGGTGTGACAGCTAAATGAGATAAAGCGTAAACAGCTCCCTGGCCAGTGTTTTCACAGCTCTGCTGAGGGTGTGTGTGGTGGCAAATGTGATAAGGTGGGCAGATGCTCCAGCCGAGTGTTACATCATCCCCATCTACTGACTTCTCCCGCCCCAGGATGGTGTCTGAGAAGACTGAGCAGGGAGCTCGGACTTCCATCTGCAGAGTTAACAAGCTTCTCTACACTGTCATCATGGGGTTGGGAAGGGGGAGCTTGGACATTCACCCCCGCCTGGCAGAGACCAGGCTCTCCTCCGTTTCCCCACTGGAGTGGCATCAGAGGAAGCTCTCTCCACCTTCAGTGGTAACCAGGCCCTGTGGGGAATATCAGTGGGGCACTCTGACCTTCTACTTGAGGGAGCTATCCGTGGTGGCCCCGTGGGGAGCCAGAACTTCTGTCTCCATCCAGCAGCGAGGTAGAGACCTCTTCTTACTTTTACCTGTGTGTCAACAGATGCCAAGTAGGGAACGTGGATTTCCACGTCCCCCTGGCAGGAACGACACAACTCACTGTTAACCAATCCCTTTCCCTACTGGGGCAATGCCAGAGGAAGCCATTTAACACAGACGATTGCACTAATATCCAGGGTCTCGTAACATAATATTCGAAATTTTCGGTTTCAGTAGAAAATCGTGCACCATACCAAGAACAGGATGATCTCAGACTGAAAGAAAACAACCAGTAAATGCTAATCCCAAGATGACAGAGATGTTAGAATGATCGGACAGACATTTTAAAGCAACCACCATTGGGGCGCCTGGGTGGCGCAGTCGGTTGAGCGTCCGACTTCAGCCAGGTCACGATCTCGCGGTCCGTGAGTTCCAGCCCCGCGTCAGGCTCTGGGCTGATGGCTCAGAGCCTGGAGCCTGTTTCCGATTCTGTGTCTCCCTCTCTCTCTGCCCCTCCCCCATTCATGCTCTGTCTCTCTCTGTCCCAAAAATAAATAAACGTTGGAAAAAAAAAATAAAAATAAATAAATAAATAAAGCAACCACCATAAAAATGCTTCCAAGAACAATGACAAGTACTCTTGAAACAAATGAAAAATTAGGAAGTCCCAAGCAAGAAAGTCAACATATAAAGAAGAACCAAATGGAAGTTTTAGAACTGAAAAATACAGTAACCAAAACAACAACAATAAAACCCGCGTCAAGGGAGGCACTCATCAGGGGAACCAAGGGGGCACAGCGAACTGGAAGACGGGACATTGTTACATATCCATTCTGAACAACAGAGACAAGAAAATGGGCTGGAAAAAAGGGAACAGAGCCTCAGGGATATGTGGTGCTATAACAAAAGATCTAACTTCCGTGACACTGGAGTTCTGGAAGGAGAAGAAAAGAGGGCAGAACTGAAAAAGTGTTCGTTAAGTAATGGCTTAAAACTTTCTGAATCTGGCAAAAAGCACAAAGCCACAGATTTAAGAAGCCAAGCGAATCTCAAACAGGAAAAACCCAAAGAAATCCATATCAAGGCACATCACACTCAAACTTCTGAAAAACAAAGAGAAGTATGTATATATTGGAAACAGAAAGAAATGACACTCCACCTAAAGGGGAAACATTTTTGACTGATGGATAATTGTTGCTAGAACATAGAGGCCAGAGTATCGAAGAGGTGTTGGAAGAAAAAAAATGGCCAACTCAAAATCCTGTCTCCAGCTGAAAGGTCCTTTCTAGTGGAAAGATCCTTCCGGAATGAAAGGGAAATCAAAGCGGTCTCAGAAAAACTAAGAATATTTGTCACCAGCAGGCATATGGAAAACGAATGGACAAAAGAATATTTCTCAACAGAAGGGAAATGATAAAAGAAAGACTATTGGAACATCAGTAAGGAAGAAAGAACATAATAAGCAAAAATATCGGTAATATTGGTCATTACAAGAGACTTTCATTTTCCTCTTGAGTCTTCAAGATTACACTGATGATTGAGGCAAAAACTAACCCTGTCTAATGTGATTCTAAAAGTATGTAGAAGAAATATTTGAGACAATGAGCTGTATCACTAACAGAGATGGTAAAGGGACGTAAAGAGAGGTCAATGTTCCCCACTTCACTCAAATTTGGAAAAGGGTGACACTAGTAAACTGTGGTATGTCTCACACGATACAAAAAAAAAATGATTTGATAAAATCCAGCAAATATTCCTGATAAAAACTCTTAGCAAACGAAGAATAGATGGGGACTTCCTCAACCTGATAAAGGACATTTACTAAAAACTTACCACTGACATCATTCTTTTGTTTGTTTGTTCTCAGTGGGCTCCGTGCCCAACGTGGGGCTTGAACTCACAATCCAGAGATCAAGGGTCAGATGCTCTACTGAGTAAGCCAGACAGGCGCCCCTATAGTTAATATCATTCTTTTTTTTTTTTTAATTTTTTTTTCAACGTTTATTTATTTTTGGGACAGAGAGAGACAGAGCATGAACGGGGGAGGGGCAGAGAGAGAGGGAGACACAGAATCGGAAACAGGCTCCAGGCTCTGAGCCATCAGCCCAGAGCCCGACGTGGGGCTCGAACTCACGGACCGCGAGATCGTGACCTGGCTGAAGTCGGACGCTTAACCGACTGCGCCACCCAGGTGCCCCATTATCATCCTTAATGATGAAAGACTGAATACTTTCCCTCCTGAGATCAGAAATTCCCACAGATTCTATTCCACATTGTACTGAAGATTCTATCTAGTGTAATATGGCAAGAAATAGAAATCCAGAGATCCATGTTGGAAATAGAAAAGGAAAGCTGTTTTTATTGGAAGGTGACACAGAGTCTACATAGAAAAACCCATAGAACTAAAAAGCCACTAGAACTAAAAGAGTGACTTTAGTAAAGATACAGGATACAGGAGTAATTCACAAAAATCACTTGCATTTCTGTATATTTGCGGTGAACCATTGGAATTTGAAATTTTAAAAGTACTACTTATAGTAACATCAAAAAGTATAAATTAGAGTGAAAATGACAAAAGGTGGACAAGACCTACACATTAAAAATTATAAAACATTGCTGATAAAAATGAAAGAGACGCGAAATAGGTAGAGAGATACTGTGTTCATGGGTCAGAAGGCTCAGTGTTTTTATGGTATAAATTTTCACCAAATTGATCTATAAAGTCAATGCAATTCTGGGCAAAATCTCAGCAAACTTGTAGAAATTGACAAACTTCTTCTAAAACTCATACGGAAATGCAAAGGACTTAGAATAGTCAAAACAACTTTGCAAAGGAGGAACAAAATTGGAGAACTAACACTGTGTGATTTCAAGACATTATAAAGTGACAATAATCAGGACAGTGGAGTGACCCTAAGTACCAATGTCAATGGAACGTCAGAATCAAGACTAAACAGACCCACTCGTGCATGAACAACTGATTTTTGACAAAAGTGCAAACAGGGCAGGGAGGGAGAAATGGTAGTCTTTTCAACAAATGCTGGAGGAACACTGGGATATCCAGAGGCAAAAAAGATGAACTTCAATCCACACCTCATACCATCGACAAATATTAACTCAAAAAATGGGTCATCATAGGTTGAAATACCCACAGCTTCCAGAGGAAAATAGAAGAAAATCTTTGAGACTTGGGCTAGGCAAAGATTTCATAGATATAGCAAAAGCATAACACATAAAAGAAAAAAATGGATTTTTTTTTTTTTTTTTTTTAGACAGAGAGAGACAGAGCATGAACAGGGGAGGGGCAGAGAGAGAGGGAGACACAGAATCTGAAACAGGCTCCAGGCTCTGAGCCATCAGCCCAGAGCCTGACGCGGGGCTCGAACTCACGGACCGCGAGATCGTGACCTGGCTGAAGTCGGACGCTCAACCGACTGAGCCACCCAGGCGCCCCAAAATGGATTTTTTAGACTCCTTCAAAATTAAAAACAAAAGTCATTGTTAAAAAAATGAAAAGATAAGCTACCATTGGGGAGCAAGCATGTGCAAATCATATATTTAATAAAGGGCTTGTATTCATTATACATAAAGAACTCCCAAAACTCAATAATAAGAAATCAAGCAACCCAATTAAAAAACGGACAAAATATTTCAACAGACATATCACCAAAATCTATGAATTATAAACAAGTAAATGAAAAGGTGCTCATCGTTATTAGCCATTAGAGAGATGCAAATCAGTATCACGAGATATCACTGTGCAGCTATTAGGATGACTACAATAAAAACGACTGACCATAATAGGCGTTATGAGAATGTGGAGGAACCGGAACTCTCACACACTGCTAATGGGTTTGTAGAAATGATGGGGCTGTCATTAACCAAATCTTGCCAAACCCCGTTGAAGGAATCACAGCTTCATTTCTTCCCTGCCCAGTTTGCTTTGCTCAGGGCCCCTGTAAAGCCAGCTTTCCAATGTCCCACAAGGTCACCTTCCGCAGTAGTGAGGTTTCCCCTTCAAGTGAACTGGGGTGGATCTACCTTAGAAACACTCTTGCTGCTTTTTGGGTTTTTTGTTGGTTTGTTTGTTTGTTTGTTTGAGGCACCAGAGTGTGAATTAGTATCGTGTGTTCAAAACCCACCAGCCCTCTTTTGGTCTGCTTCTCGGTTGATTTCAGGTGTCTTGAAAGGTGACACGGCGCCGGATAAAAAGAAAGAGAGCAAGACAGAAGGCACCACGACCCTCAGCAATCTCTTGTAGACAATTTTTTGAGGGTTGAATACAACTCTGGGCGTGAGTCAGCTGCTGAGCGAGTGCGTTTCTGTCTGCTTGTGTCTCTCTGCCTTTGCAGTCAGAGGAAGGGCCCAGGCTCAGGCCAGGAAGAATCTGCTCTAAGCTGATAAACCCAAAGCCCATGTGCCAGGAACCCTGTGGTTTTCTGTCTTTGTAAGTTTTCCCCATGAGGCCTGGGAGGAGAGGACACTCTCTAGGAGGAGGTACTTCCCCGCAAAGCATCGGCCTGAATACCGCCCAGGGGAGCAGTTTGCACACATCCGGACTGTGAGAGCTGCGCACCCAGAGCTGTGCGCTCCATTTCACGGGCTCCGGGCTCCGGGCTCCGGACCGGGGTTTTCTCCGTTAAATGTGTGAACTGTAAAGTCCCGTGCCTTCTGGGGATGGGCGGAGGGAGGCAGCCTCTGAGCTGGAGTGGGAGAGGGACCCGCGTGCGGTCCCGTGAGGGTCCGACCGCTCCGAGACTGGGCGCAGCTTTCGCAGTGACCGTGGCCGGAGAACCCCAGACCCTGACAAAGCCAGCCTGCTCTCTCCGCTTTGCCGCCTTTTACTTTTCCTAAAACAGTTCTGGGGAGTTTCAACATTCTGAAAATGGCCAGCAAAACTCTCTAGAGCTGAGCTCAAATCAATCAACGCGAAGAAAACGTGCGGATTGGGTTTTTTTTTCTTTTTTTCTTTTTTGTTTTAACCCATTGTGGGTGTGTAAACGGAGCTGTCAGTCTGGAAGCCCCCCAGGAGCCGGGCGTGAGTCCGCAGAGCTGGGTATTTTTAGTCTGCTCTCGCTCAGATTCCAGCTGGTGGACCCTGAGCGAGCTCTTGTGGGGCTCCTGGCGCAAGTGGAACCTGATGATGCAACCGCAAGGTGGGCTTAGCTCATGCAGCGCACAGAGCGGTAGCCCCAGAAGCTCCGAGACAAGCAGATAATACGCAGAAACCCTGTCCAATTGCACCTTTAAAAAAGAAAGAAAGAAAGAAAGAAAGAAAGAAAGAAAGAAAGACCTCTCAACAGGTTCAGACGCCCGTGTGTGTGTGTGTATGTGTGTGTGTAGCGATCTACTAGTAAAAATTAAAATCATCACATTGTGTCACAGGAGGGCAGCGTATTTTGCTTTTCTTTGGCAATGATCCATGATTGAGCTACTGATTAAAATATACCCTATGAAGTACATGTGTTCTATGGAATGTCTCCCTAAGTATTTGCTGACTTGCCTCTGAATTACACGCCTGGTGAAGCGGACCCTGGCCGGAGGGGATCGCTTCTCCTTCATGCAGGTGCTTTCGGCTCCCCTCTCTCAGGCTGGGAGCTGGACTGCTTTGGGCTTTGTTTTTTGTTCCGGCCCCTGAGCCCAGCACAGGATCTAGAACAGGGAGGCTGTCATTCACATCCACTGGGGGCCCCTTCCTGGTCATCTGTCAGGGGGACAATAATGCTAGTCTTACCCTCCTGAGAGCTGCTGGAGGCTGCACACTTCAGCCGAGTCCTTTTGCTTTCTGCTCCTTACTTGGCCCATCTGTGAGATCAAGGAAAAGGTACAAATTTAGCAGTAATGATTCAGTTATTTTACTTAAAAAAAAAGTTGGAGCCATCGTTACACAACAGAATTAACATTTGTTAATTGTGGGATGGGGGTACTCAGGTGATTGATAGATCATTCTCTGTTTTTCTGTATCTTTCAAAGTCCTTTGGTCCGATAAACGGAGAGGAAAGAAACATTTTTAAAGGATTTGTATGAAATCTGGTTTCCTCCAGATGGACACTCTCTGGTTCTGTGTACAGGGAAATGCTCAGTAAACCCCAGAGTCCTGAGACTCTAAGGAGAGGCATTAATATTATTCATCACATTTCTGTTCTATACACTGCTCCAGGAATTTACTGATACTCAGCACTAGGCTTCACCCCTACCCACACTCTCCGCTGTGTCAGACAGCCAGCCGTTTGCTCACTAAGCTGAATACCTTTCTGGTGGGATAGGAGTTTTCTAGTTGAAGGCATGGGAGTCCAGAATGATGGCACTTAGAATGTTCTGAGTCCGTTTCATCCAACCCTCTCCCCTCCCCCGGAACCACCTGCAACCCCAACCTATACCAAACAGAAGCATATACCTGTAGGAACACTAACTCCTATCTGCAGTCACTAAACATTTGTCTCATATAATGAAATCCCAGCTTTTGGGGGCTTAACCAAAACACGTTGCCGGAGAAAATGCACGTTGACATCTCCACTCCTCTAACTTAAAAACAGCCAAACTAAAATAAGTAACAACAACAACAAAAAGTTGTTTCCCACACATTTGCCCTGCTCTTACCACCAGTCTTCAGCCTGAAATAATTTCATGCTTGAGTTATTAACTTATGAAAATAGGCACAAAAGGGGAAAAATGTGAACAGGTCCTCAGCTATATTATTAGTCATTGCTACAGCTGAGTGCATTCCGGCACAAAGGCGTGTTATTCTGCCTGAGTACCTCAGTTTTGAACAAAATGTAGCTCACTAATGGGTTATGCCTCATATACCTTTTTGTAACCATTAGGTTGCCATTCTCTGTAATCTATCCTGTTTTTCATTACGGGTATGTTCATTAGGCAGGTGTGCGCACAAGTGCCCGTGTATGTGTGTGTGCGTGCGTGTGCACACACACGCACACGCACGCACACACACACAAATCCCCTTTTGTCTGTGACTGAAAAGAAAGGTCACGGGCTGGGCTGGCAGTCGTTTTGGGGAAACCACTGTCTTGATAAATGCTAATTATCATTGATTATGATAGTTGATCGTTATCATTGATTATAATGATTTGGAAATCAGGGCTGTGGATGGATGTGAAATGTGGATTCTGAAAAACTGGTGGATTGGGGGGTAGGAACATGAGTAAAAGAAGGGAACCCAGAAGCATTCTGGAGAAGACGGAGGTAGAGCAGGGGAGCCTGACCTGTCTTGCCTCAGTCTCTGTTTGTCAGGGGCAGTGCTGGTCTGAAAACATTCCGGGCTGGGCTCACTTGCCAAGTGTTCTCAGGTTTCCAGGCAGTAGCCCCCTTTATGGAAGTTTCTGGCTTGCACTCAGAGATGTTGCCCCAAACCAGTTTGAGTCACATGAATAAAAGAGCCAAGTTTGGACCTACTGACTTTTGCTTCTGTAAAGCACAGAATTGGTTATAGAAATCAAGGCCTTTGGGTCTTAACTTCTGGATAGACAAAAATGCAACAAAAATAGCAGGCAAGAAAATAATCAGGAGAAAGAAATATAGAAGGGAAATAGAAGAAGCTTGGAGAAGATCACGGTCCTTCACAGGCAAGTATGGTTCATTAGAGCTGTCTCCTAAACAGACCAGAGGTCTGCATGGGGCTGGAGATCCCAGAAACAGGGCCCCCCAGCCCCCACCAATTCTCAGCCAATAAGAGAAGCCCCGGGCACCTTCCCCCTTGATTAGGACAATGGGATTCTCCACCTGACACTTGCCTGGCCAGGAGGGACACTAATTGGGAACCAAATGTGGTCCTTTAACCCCTTTGAAGTGTTCACGAACGCTTTGATTTTGTTCTTTCCTCCTCATTAAGACAAACGGGGTTCTACTTTGCCCTGAAAAAATCTGATCTCACCTCCCAAGCCAGCTGCTCATCTTCCGGCTCCTGTGAGGCAAGCTCTGCAAGGGGGGTCCCCTCCTGTCAGGTGACAGAAATGCCCACCTTGCCAAAGATCACTCTGGCCGGGCTCTGTCTCGGGGGTCAGCAGATCACACTGCAATCAGAGCCCAGGATGCATCACCACGGGGTCTCCACTCGTGTCAAAACCACAAAGGGGCTTGTGGTAACTCTCAACCCAGAACGTCCCATTAGATACCAGGCAACACAGACGTGATGAGGTTCCCAGATGCTGTGCCTTGTGGAGGCAATCAGGCTGGAGAGAACTCCAGGAAGACAGAGCCTCCCCCCCGCCCCCCGCCTCCCCAAAGTTCTGGAATCTTGAAAGATTATGAAGCCAGCTTTGCCTTCGCCCTTCTTTTACTGGTGACACACGGGGGCAAAGAGGTGGCAGAACTGGACCTAGAAATGATATTGCTTCTCCCAGCTGGCACTGAACCCCTGAGTCTCATCTGCCGTAACACCCGCCCCCCCCCCCCCATGCCAAGACCACCTTCCCTTCTCCCAGTGCAGGGGCAAAGTCAGTGCAATGGAAACCTGCAGAATGGAGGCAACTGGAGCCCCGTGGCCTACTCAGAGACCATGAACGTGGGACATGCACCTTCACCTCCCCCCCCCCCCCACAGTGCCAGCCACAGGGGAAACATAGGCCACGGCAACAGAGCTCTGCTCCAGAGGCACACGCTGAGAAAGAGGCCCCAGTGCCCAGTGGGGACACCTCTGGAGATGGCCGCAGGCTGTGGTGGAGTCCTGGGAGGCTGGATGAACTCTGTCAGGTGGGAAATGGGAAGGTGGAGAGAAGAGTGGTTGTTGTTGCCGGTGTTGTTGTTGTTTAGAGAGATAGAGAGAGAATGTGTTAGTGGGTGGGGGAGAGGAGCGGGGGCAGGGGGGCGGGAGGGAGAACCCAAGCAGGCTGAATGCTCAGCGCAGAGCCCGACATGGGGTTTGATCTCATGACCCTGGGATCATGACCTGAGCCCCAATCAGGAGTCCGACGCTCAACCGACTGAGCCACCCGGGTGCCCCGAGAAAAATATTCTTAAGAGCAGAAATTCAAACCTGGGAAAGCATCATCCATCTTATCTCGTTCTGTCACAGATATAATCTCCACAGCCAACAGACCCAAAGTCCTGCTACGTGTGTGTTTATTTCCTTGGATCCCCACAGATCTCCATCTGCGAGATCAGCATCTGAATTAGACCCTCTCCCCCTTGTTTTCATTTTTACCGTCTTTATCACTTTGTGTTTAGTTCAGGAGCGTTAGTAAGTACATGAACATTGTTTTACAACAGATCTTAGATCTTATTCGTCTTGCAAAACGGAAACTCAACCCATTAAACAGTCACTCCCCGTTCTCCCCTCCGTGCAGCTCCCGACAACCACCGGTCTACTTTCTGTCTCCGTGACTTTGATGACTCTAGGTACCCCGTGTATATGGAATCACATAGGATTTGCCCTTTTGTGACTCGCTCATTTCTTCAGGTTTCATATATCTTGTAGCAGGTGACAGATTTTCCTTCTTTTTTAGGCTGAATAATATTCCATTGTATGTAAACACCACCTTTGGCTTATACAGCCGCGTGTTGAAGGACCCTTGGGTCGTTTCCACCTTTTGCCTCTTGTGAATAACACTACTGTGAACACGAGTGTGCAAATACCCCTTTGAGATCTTGCTTTCAATCCTTTTGGCAATATACCCAGAAGAGGAATTGTTGGATCATATGATAGTTCTATTTTTAATCTTTTGAGGAACCTCCATAGCAGCTGAACCATTTCACCTTCTCACCCACAATCTAGGAGGGTTCCAATTTCTCTACATCCTCACCAACACTTGTTATTTTCTGTTGATATGTATATATACATATATGCCCCCCTGAGTGGGTATAAGGTGATATCTTCTTGTAGTTTTCATTTGCTTTTCCCTAAGGCTTAGTGATATTGACTATGTTTTCATATGCTTGTTAGCCATTTGTATCTCATCTTTGGAGAGACATCTATCCAAATCCTTTGTGTTTTTTTTTTTTTAAGTTTATTTGTTTCTTTATTTTTTAATGTTTATTGATTTTTGAGTGAGAGACCGAGCATGAGTGGGGGAGGGGCCGAGAGAGAGGGAGACACAGAATCCGAAGCAGGCTCCCGGCTCTGAGCTGTCAGCACGGGGCCCGACGCGGGGCTCGAACTCACGAACTGGGAGGTCACGGCCTGAGCTGAAATCAGGAGTCCGATGCTTAACTGACTGAGCCACCCAGGCGCCCCTCCCTTTGCTTATTTTGAAATCGGATTATTTTGTTGCCGTTGAGTTGTAGGAGTTTTTTAATACCCCCCTCCTTTTTTTGTTTTTAGCTGAAAAAAACTGAAGGATCCAAGAGGTGGGTAACTTACTTGCGTGTGCTGTGAGTCGCCCCGCGGCGGGGAGGGCTGGCCCCAGGCGACAGCTAGAGCAAGCTGCGGCCCGTCCTCTCAGCCACATGGTCTCGCAGCCAACACTGCCCGTCAAATGCACACCCTGTGTTCACAGCCTTGTGTGCCAAATTGCTGTTTGGAAACGAACAGCAAACACTGGCTGCGGGGAACTCAGAAGCGTGTAATATCCACTTTAATGACGGTTCCACTCTCTTGTTTTCCCCTCCTCTGAGGAAGCGCAGAGAGAAAAGGCTGTTCATGGAAAAATACATTTAAATGGATCAGTGCCGGGCAGCCCTTTGCACATCTGTTCTTAACAGGTTTCAGCTGAAACTACTGAAAATATACATAGATCTGTTTGCGTGGAACCAGTTAAATCTGATAAGATTACAATTTGGAGGGTAACTCTGGATTTGGTGGGGGGAAAAGAAAAAACCCTCCACACTTGCTCTCCACACACGCTCCTAAT